CGTCCATATTTTTGATAGGGGTCCAAAATATTCCGTCACCGATCGACTCCGTGGACGTCTGCTTACATTCTCCTAAAGAATTTTTCAACTGACAAACTCTAGTACCACTAAAAACACAATAGCGTTGCTGTAAGTGTACCCATAATTCCCTCACATAGTCATAGTCTCCAATGGTGGAACGCACCGAATCATCCAACGTGTTGCTAATCCAAGAAACGAGCATGGAGTTAACTGCTATCCAGTGCTTCCTTTGTGAAGAATCGGCAGTAGGCTCCTTGATCGAGCCATCCACAAACCCAAACTTCCACTTAGCAATCAATGCCCTTCGCATAGCCTTAGACCACTCATCATAATTTGCTCCACGAAGTTTAATTGGGGTAATAATAATACCGGGATGATCACTCGATCCCAGGTGATATTCAAGATCAACAGGGGGCGGTGGTGGCGGAACATCATCATCTCCCTTCGCCATCACCGATTAATTTAACGAGAAATATTTTTTTTTTATGGTTTTTGAACCCTAGCTCTAGATACCATGTTAAATTTCGAAACAATATGAAATGGGTTTGGGCAACCCGAACAAGGAGGAGGAGAGTTTGGTCCACAAACAAGGCTTTGGAGCTTCCATACTAAGACCAATTGGCAATAGTAGGAGTTACTCCTCTACCTTATAAAGTGGAACCACATCTCCTCTTTCTCCAATGTGGGACACTCACAAGTGATACATATTGGGTTCCAACACTCCCCCTCACTTGTGAGTGTCCTTAGAATTAGAGCACACCAGAAGGTACAATATAAATCCTCTTTGGGAATGAACATCCAATAGAGGCTCCTTAACCAGTGGCTTGACAAATACCTAGTTATAAACGGCCCAACAAACCTAGGCTCTGATACCATGTTAAATTAATTCAATGCCTCCCGTTCTCATTATCACCTCACGAGTACATCTATAGTTTACAATATATTCCTAATTATCCTAGGCTTAGGAATCATATCAAATCAAATATTAACATAAAGATAACTAAGGAATCCTAACAATATTTCCTAAATATTATCTTTACATATAATATTATCTCAACAGATCGGTTTCCCATGCACTTTTTCTATGCGCAGAGGTTCAGCCAATTTGGAGGATGTCAGTCCTTCGTTTGGATGTGAACTATATGAGGGAGATGAACTTATGAGGATGGATTGAAGTGTTGGCGTCCCGGTTTCATGATGAGCAATGGTGTCCTTATTTTGGAGTTTACTTTGGAAGATTTGGCTCAAGCAAAATGTGTGGTGCTTCAATCAAAAGGCTACTCCAATTTCCTTGCTACTTGCGAAAGGTTAAGGGCTCATTGGTGAGTTTTAGAAGGCTAACTCTATTAAAGCTGTGTTAAATGGTGTATCTGATCCTAGCCCGATTGGGTGGCAAGCCCCTACTGCTGGAATTTTCAAGGCGAATTTTGATACGACAATATTTGAAGAAGTTAAAGTTTGCTTTGGTGGGTTGGTTCGAGATGCTGATGGGGATGTCATGATTGCTACGTGCATGGTGGTTCGAGGGAGGATGGGTGTTGAGATGGCAGAAGCATTAGCTCTTCGTCACACACTCCAAGTTGCATGGGAGGCTAGCTTGCGTAGCTTAAAACTCGAGGTGGGCGGATTGTCAATCCTTGTATTCCAAGTTAAGGAAGGGTTGTATATCTAACTCGTCTCTTAGCTTGGCTATTAGGGATATACTTGAGTACTCTACGTTATGTTTTTTCCTAGACTAGATTTCTCTTTTGTTAGGCGGTGTGGTAATTGTGCAGCTCATAAGCTTGCACATATTAGTCGTAATTTTGATACCTTAAGATAATGGATTGAAGAAGCTCCCGTTGAGGTGCTTCCCTTTGAAGTTTCGAACTCCCCTTAATAATATTTACACTTTCTCGTAAAAAAAAAAAATTAAAGCAAACCATGGTTCCCAACGTAACGGAAGTCTACACAAAAATAAACGACCGTTTTCTAACACTCATTAAAGGCAGGCACATGCGTTGCTTTAGAATTTCCAGGCAATTACGAAATGACCAATTTCACAAATCTTATAGATGAACCTGAAACTTGAGCTGATCATTAGTGGACTTAGGTGGTTAATGGGTCGCGCCTAACTATAAAATATTGTCCAACAGGCCATATGAGTTAAAGCCCAGCCCTTAAAACGGGTGAATAGTTGTCCTAACCCGCCCTCTTAAAATGGGTGGGTTGGCCCACGGGCTATTGGACCCTTATGTAATTGTAGACACCTAAAAATGTCCCCCCAAAACCAAACCCTTAAACAGTTCTATCTTTCACGTCTTGGGTTAAGGACAGAACCTCGAGTAAAATATGGACTCCTTTGAGTGCTTGAAGAAGGAATTTTGAAGTAAAAAGGGTAGGCTAGTGTTTAGGCTAAAGCATAGAAGAGAGAAAATAAAATAAGAGAATTACTCGGTGCCCCGTTCATCAGAAATGAGGGGGGTATTTATAGGGAAAATGTGCTGAGGGAGCACACGGAACCCTAAAATGATAAAAACCCTAAAAAAGTATCCCGTGACACGGTCAACCTGTACCGTGACACGGGAAGCTCCACCGTCAGACGACACTCTTTCCCGTGACACGACACACTTTTGGCGTGATGCGGGAAATTTTCAGAAAAACGGGATAAAAAACGCGTCAAGGGTTTACGCGGAAAAGACACGGAATGTCCCGAGTCACGGCAGACCTCCCGTGTCACGGGAAATCCCACCGTCAGACGGGAAGGATTCCCGTGACACGGTAGGTACCTGCCGTGGTGCGGGAAATTCCTGCCCGTTTTTCCGTCTAAATACATTTTTAACCCTAATTTTCTTCGGCATTTTAAGTGCCGATTGATAATTTCGGGCCTTTTCTGACTTTTTATTATTCGGGCTAAAATAAGAAAATAATTAAATAAAAATAAATAAAAGGTTTGGGCAAAAAATAAATAATAAAACAATAAAATAAAAAAGGTTTGGGCTTAAAATTAATTAATAAGTTTGGGTTGAAATTAAAACTATTCTTTTACCAAACATCAAGACTAATCCATGACTGTTCAAAAATATGAATTTAATAAAATATGATTTTTTAAGCACTCTCGGGATTAAATACTAAACCCGACCAATAGTGGCGGTGAAAGGTTGTTCATCATCGGGTTTGGTTTTGGGAAGACATTTTTAGATGTCTACAACAATAATTTATCTTTCGTTATAAATTTGCAATGTTCGGATAGTTACACATATAATCATATAAAGTTTTGCCAAATTATTTCTTATACTTCACCAAGAAAGAATTATTAGTTCACACACCCTTGCATCGACTTAGAAGTAAAATCAAAGTAGATTAACTTACTATACTATTTTAAAAAATTAAGAATATTAGAAAAAAAGAAAGACCCCGTATATTATATTGGTCAAAACAAGAATAAGAGAGACAAAGAACTAGAGTGTTGTGAAATATGGCGATTTACATGATTAACTTTTGTAGGATTTGTTACTTTTTTTCTTCTACAAGTAATAATAATCTCTATTATATAAGAGGAGGAATTTTAAAGGGAGGAATGTTAGGCATTTAGAAATGCATAACAAAGGGTATTCATGTAATTATGAATATGTACAAATGAATAAATATTCTGATATCATTGGATGATCAAATGGTACCATTGAATATACAGTAATACTATATGTGCACATAATAGTATTATATATGCATTCAGTTGTACTAAATTTATGCGTAAATAGTACCACTGAGGATTCAATGGTACTATATAAACTTTCAGTGGAACAATCAGCATGTGGTCCCCCATCATGTGATACAATCCGACTAAAAAATAGGTGTGGTCCACCTACATGCCTCTCTCTTCCTATCTCTCTCCTATTTTCTCTCTCTACCATGTGTTTTATAATATTTTAATCAATGTTATGCATTAGTAAATGCATAACTTTTCTCCATTTTTAGTTCCTCGTATAAGGGAGGGTGGGGGGAGGAAGATGGTGTCCTCCCTCTCAAAAGACTTTAATACCCTTAATAAATTTTAAATGTTATGATTTGATTTACCTAAATTACCCCTTCTCCCTTATTTAATTAAAAATGAAAATTGCATTTATTGTATAATGTATTATTGAAAAACTTAAATCTATGAACATTAGTCCAAATTGGATTGAAACATATATGAAAAATATATATTTTGAATTCAAGTCATATTTATTTACAAAATTATTATAATTAATACAAATTGCATTGCTAATTAGCTATAAATTATTAATAATATCAAATCTTTAACTTCTTATGCATTTTAATTTGATACATACAGTACTATATAGGGCATGTTCGACAAAATATAGCTGTGAAGGTAGCTGTAGCTGTGGAGGTAGCTGTGAGCTGTGTATGTAGCTGTTAGCTGTCAACAAGCTGTTAGCTGTGAAGATAAATAATTTACATATAAGTGTTCGGTAAATTAGCGATTGACTAGCTGTTATATATAAAAATCAACATTTTATTTTTAAAATTGTAGATTAAATTTTCAACAGCTATCTCAAAAGCTACCTCCAATTTCAAAAGCTAATCTTCCTAACTTTTTATAAAAGCTACCTCCACCACTAAAAGCTATCTTAACCACTACTTTGCCAAACACCTACATTTTTTTTCAAGTAGTGATTTTGGTCAAACCACTAAAAGCTACCTAAAAGCTACTCAAAAACTAGCGCCGAACATGCCCATAATCATTTTCAAAGAAATACAATTTTCTTAGTTCTAAGCACGCATCGCGTGCATATAAAAGCTAGTAGTAAATAAAGTATACATTGTTTATAACTTAACGGGTCGAGCGGGCTGGCCCGCTAAAAAAATAACTTGGTGCAACATGACTGCGGGCAAGGATTGGCCCTCCCAAATACATTGTTTATACATTGTTAATGATGTACATGACCTAAGTTTAATTTGAATTTGTTGTTGGTTATTAGTTGAGTTGTTGATTGTTTTTTTTTTTTTTTTAATTCATAATTGTAGTTGACTTTGAGATTTAGTTGTTATGGTTCCTTGATTTTTTTCATAGTTTCCGGCCTGGTTTGATTTAATTCATTTGAATTGAATAGTTGATCTTTTGCTGTTGCTATTTGGTTTGGTTCATTTGATCTGATTTGATCCGTTGTTGTGGCTTCATCTTGTGTTCTTTTGAGCAAGATTTAAATTGGTAAATTGAGGTAATGGGGTGCCAAGGTTTTTCGGGATATTTGCTTAAACCACGAAATTTCCTAATAACCCTTGCCATAGTAGCTGTGTTAGTGCTTGGGATTTACAACCAAGTCACGCCCGATTATGGTCTTGCGGCTGCCATTAACAAACTTCTCCAAAATCTTCCTATGTAAGTCCTTATTGTTTGTTTTATCTTTTCTACAATCGTCAATGAATTCATAATTATTGGATCTTTATGTATCATTTTATGACTATTGCATCTACTTATTATTTAACAGCAAGCCAAGAGGAAAAATTCTAGACAAACAATTTGTAGAGGTGCATTATACTACCTCCGTTTTTTTTATTGCAACAAATGAATTTTTTTTCTCACAATTAATATTCAAAAAAACGGTGGGAATATATAACGTCTTGCTAAATTAGCTATAAATGATTTGCTTATTAAGTGGACATAGTTTGAATTGCATAGCTAATGTTTCACAAATACTTGTATAATGATTTACATAGGCCGAAAAAAGAATCTTCAATTCTCATCTCATCAAGTATGGGAATAGTCCAAAGCTGGCTCTTGATCAACAAGAAGCTTCTCTTCATTCCTTAGTACTAATGGTACAGTATGACAGATTTTGTTAATTTTGCATTAAACTAAATAAATTAACTACTACCTTCGTAACATATTAGTTGCGACAATTGGACATAAAGTAAGGAGGAAAAATGACAAATCGTTGCAACTAATATGTCACAGAGTTACGTAGTAGGAAACTAAATGACTAATTATATGACTTTACAATGAGATATGTATAGGTTCTGAACGCTCCTGATGGAGCTCTTAAAAAGAAAGTAGCACAGAAGGAGTTGGATAAAGAGTTGGCGAATCGACGCCATGTGGATTGCGCAATTGAACAGATTGCAAAAGCTATTTCCTTCCCTAATGATTTCTCAAAGTTGATTGATACTATCTCAAGGGTGGACGATTGGGACTGTTACAGTACATTGGTAAGTAGTTTTAAGAACTTTGATTTTGGTTTAAGTAATTATAAGCAACACCTTATATTTTGGATTTTTGCTAATCAACAAGTTTTAAACAGTTTAATTTGTATTTATTAATGTATGTGTAGCTTTCCACTTATGAGACCTATTGTGGAGGATTTTCTTTTTACGGGATCATATATGAGAATGTATTCGCAAACATGTGCAATAACGGTACTCAAGAAGCCCAACTAGCTGAAATTGCATCTGAAGTTTGTGGCGACGGAGGAAAGTGTCAAAAGGTTGTAGCCAAGTGATGAAAATAAGCAATGAACTCAATAGTGTTGCATTACATTATTAATCATATATCTAACTATGTGGATTATATATAGTGTTGCTTTGATGATTGGATGGAGTAGTAAAAAAATATTTAGATGGAAAAAAAAAAAAAAATCTTTATGGCATAACGTTGCTGCATAAAAGAAAGAAAAGGGTCAGGGGAGTGTGTCCCCACATAGACATCCAATAGGTAGAAGATACATCATTTATGTACAAAAATGAATGGGGAAGGTTGAGCGGGAGATTTGAGTGGTAAATTTCTTGGTGATTCCCGCCTTTAAAGAGATGAACACTATGGCGAATGTACTTTTATCCGTCACTGACCACCACAAGGACCACCTTTCCCCATGGCTGTCTTAACCATATTAGGGGCCCTGTTTTAAACTTAGAAATTAGGTCCTGATAAAAAAAGTTAGATACAAGCAAAAAAAAACACTTTTCTATCCGATTCTTTTTTTTTATTCCCTCTCTCAAACTAATTAATTTAAATAGTAAATCATATCCAACTACAACTTCAAGTTTTTTTAAAAAAAAAGACATTTCTAGCGATTTTTGTAGCAAATTCATCAACAAGTCTTCATATAACACCTTCTCCAAAAAATATTTGGCAGACATAATTAAAAATAAAACTACATTAGTATTTAGTAATTAAACCCTTCAAAAAAAAAGTATTTAGTAATCAAAGAAACAATGCACCCAAAACAAATTATATTCAACAATTAGTCTAATACTTGGTAATTGAAAGTCAAAGGAGGATAAAAACAAGTTAGTAAAAGGTTACCACAACTCCAATTTCCGCAGCTCACCGACTCAGGGGAGTACCCATTACAATAATTTTCTTAATTTCCAACTTTAAAAATTACATATTAGCAATAAAGCTAAAATGCTAAATAACTCCTAGAAAATTTGCTTAAAAAAACTCCTAGAAAATTTAAAACTCTATACATATTAGCCTTTGATATACGAAAATCAAGGATTTGTTTGTGGAAAATACATAACTAATTCCTCCAGAGGAAGTAATTTATGAATTGAGAACATAATTATTGTGATTGATAGAGGAAGGCAAGAAGTTTATATGGAAAGATGAAGATTTTGGGTAAAACAAGAAATTTAATGACTAAAGAAGGAAGATTTTAGAATTTTTAAGCAAATTGAGAGCATTTACGAGGTAATCTAGGTGCTTGATTTGTGGGAGTAATTGAAATGGGGAAGAAGAATGGAAGATAGATAGTTACTGACTTCTCTAATTCACGCTTGAGCAGAAAGAGCAACTTTTTTTTTTTTTTTTTTAAAAAAAAAAAAATTAGGGTTGGGCTCCAATTATTAATGGGCCCTCAACAATTCGGGGCCCTGTGCTAAGGGTCTGGTTGCACAGGCCCTTAGCCGGCCCTGCCTTTCCCACCCTAGGCAGTCGACCACCTCTTTCCCCACTAACCCATTTCTCTTTCCCTCCATAAAAGCCATCCAAGACCTACCCAAATCCCTAAACCAACACCTTGAAGCCCACCTAAAACTCCTACCTCAAAATCCCATCCAAAACAGGCAAACCCCTCCTAAGATTTTGACGATGATGTCCATACAACTTACAATATTCATAAATTATTAAATTTGATACCATGTCTAATATTTTGATACCAATTTAATTCTTGAAACTTCATTTATAAATTCATTTTTGATTAAATAATACAAATGAAGAACTACTAAATATTTTTAATACTAAAAAAATACAAATGAACAATTAACTCAGGTTTCTTTTGCTGAAATAATGATGCGTTTGACCCACTAAATGACTAAAGTGGACCACCAGAACTCTGTCCTCTCATCCGCTCACCCCCGCCGCCATAGCGAAAGTTGGAACAAGTGTTAGTGGGTTGGTGGTTCAAGTGGCGGCGGAAGCTCAAACAAGTGGCGGTGGTTCGAACAATAACAGTGCTGGAGGTCAGGGTTTCATGAAGTTGATGAATTGATGGTGGTTCATGACTTTGGGGTTAGAATATGGTGAGAATGATTAAGATTAAGTATTTTGGTTAAGATTTAATGAAAATTAGGGTGTTTTAATTAGGTGTTAAGTTTCTTAATTAATGGCATTTTAGTAAATTTTTCCAAAATAACTTTACAATAAATGGAAAGAATGAAAGTGTTGCATTTTTTGTTATGGCCTAAAATGGAAAGTGTTGCGTTTTTTTTGTTACGGAGGAACGGAACCCGCATAGATGGAAACGAAGTTTCTTAAAGGTTTTCGAGTTTCCGAGTTTCTGAAACATTAGGTCCTGAGAGTTTCCATGCTTCATATATCACAAGTAAGTGCTCTGAGATCCTCTAGTTGTTCACAATGGATAAAAAAGTCTTAACAAATTGAGTAAGGCGAGACTTGTATTTTATGCTTAATTTGGCAAAGCTAAGTAATGGCATGTCGGCGAATGAACGTTGTTTAATTTGACATAATATTCAATATTATATGCCACTGAACAAATATTATCACATGATAATTTATTTATTTATTTATTTTGACGACAACAAAACAAGAAAAACACTAATTAATGAAAGATGAACTCGAGGTCCTGCAGTCATTAGCCACCAAGTGTGCCTGTTGGACCTCTTCCCTACTCACCTTCCAAACTACACAAGATTGAAAGTTGTTGGCTTCTTTCTGAATATCTCGTATCGTCCATAGGATGTTAATGTCTGGATTATGTCAATTTCCCAAGAAATTGATCAAAATCGAAGAGTCTGTGAAAATCACTATCCTTTGCCAGTTTTTAGATGAGGCTCATCTAATCGCCAGTAGGCAAGCTATTGATTCTGCATGAAAAGCAGAGGACAACCTACAATAGTGTCCTCTTCCTGGCAATCTCCAGAAGCATTCTGAACCACCCAGCCCATCCCAGCATTTCCTGTATTTTTCTGCCACGATCCATCTATTAGTTACCCCCAGAGTTTACCCCATTAGCCTGGAGATTAAAGCGCTCTTTACCTAATGAGGCATAGTCGAAACCCGGAGGTCTAGTTCCTCCATCATTGCCTGTAGAAGTGCTCGGTCTGTTCCTCTAGCTCTACTTTTGCTTTCTCAATATGACGCAACAGAGCATGCAAATCACTCTCATCTCCTCTGAAGACCTTTCCATTCCTATTGATCCATAAACACCATAGAATCATAATAAAGTTAGTGATTCTATCGCTATGAATACCATCCTCGCTATAGAAAAGCAATATATATCTCTGAATCCATTGTCGCATTGAAATAGATTCAGCTAATTCCAAAGTGGGACCTAAAGAGCTTTCTTCCCATGCAATCTGAGCTAAAACACAATTTTGAAATAATTGCTCAGTATCTTCCACTTCCCCTCCACATAGATCACAATCCAGCAGTACCTCTATCCCATTCATTGCCAACTTCCAAAGGAAAAGACTCCATTTTGGGGGAATCTTAAGACGCCATAAAATTTTGCAGAAGTCCTGAGTCAGCCTACTATCAGCATCTTCCATCTTTAACCCTTGTAGAAAATCATACCCAGTCCTGGTTGTGTAATTACATGTTTTATGATGCTCCCAGTATAGAGTATCATCCTCATGTGATTTATATAATTCCAAGTTCAAAATTCCTTTTGCACTTTCCCACTTAAAGAGATTTCTCACCTTCTAGATGTTCCATCTTTTAGGTTCATGAAGAATGAGGTCACTGACTAGACCTGTGCCAACTCCTCTCAAAGTGTTGTCTGAAGCGATAACTGGGGCACCACCTCCCACCTATTTCATATTTGCAAACTTGATTTGATTTCCATCCCCAACTTTCCAGGCAAAACCCTTTGCCAAATTATTAGCAACCCGCTGCAGACCTTTGTTTCCCCATGAAGTGTTTAGCCTTGTCGAAGAGAAAGTCCTTCCAGTATTCATGGGATTAGAATCCTTCTTATAGCTAGAAAATCTTCGAAACTAGTAACTGTGGATTGCAATGCATTCTCTGAAGAGCATTGCTTCATATAAAGGTGGCGAGTACATGGTAACCATATGCATCAATATTTCCATTTACCAACAACATAGGCGTGACACCAAGCATAGCCTGGTCTAGTGGTCAAGTTTGTATCTCACAACTAAGTAGGGGTGAACACGGATCGGTATCCGTATCCGAAAATTAGGATATTCGATATCCGATCCGAAAGCTTGGAATATCTGAAATTTTTGGATCGGATAAGTCGGATATCCAGTATCCGATCCTTTTATTAATATTGGTCATGTAATACTAAATTAAGCTCTTAAAGACAAAATTACCTTTTTTTTTTGGTTTTGTGTGTGTGTGTGCGCGCGCGTGCATGCAGAATATTAACCACGAATTACAAAATATTAAACCAAAAAAATCAATTATCAACTCACAAAATTCAAAATCTAAAGATAACCAGAAAATGACGAGAAATAATTAAGAATCAACTAATTAAAATCAACAATATAAGACAAAAAATAATAAGCCTAGATTTATACTTAAAATACACTAATTGAAATCAACAGACAAAAATGAAGAACAACAAAATGAAATCGTGAGAGGAGCGAAAAGTGGAAGAAGCTGTGAGGAGGAGAGGGTAGCCGTCTCTACCACCATTAAAACGGAGAAGCCACCGTCGATTTGGGACTGAGATCTGAGAGGAGACGCCGTCAATTTAGGAGTGCAATGAGGATTGTTACTGGTTTGGTGGTTGGAAGGGGTCGTTCACTACAGTTAAGGTGGTTGTTGTTGCTGGTGGGAAAGGGCGGCGCGATAAGGGTAGGAGTTGACCACCGCCGGGAGGAGGGGGAAGGCTGTTGAACGAGAATAGAGGAGAAAGGAGAAATGGAGAATGAAAGATCAGAGAAGGAGAAGAGAGGAGAGAGAAAAGGGCGGTGAGGTGGGTTGAAAGAATAGTTTAGGGTTTCTTGTTTTGGGCTTCTGGGGGTATTTGGGTTTGCTGGATGTAGCGATTTTTGGGTAGCATTTCGGATATCAGATCGGAAATCCGATATTCGATATCCGAAATTTAAATTTTGGATATCCAATTTATTCGGATTGGATATCCGATTCGAAGTCAAATTCGGATCGGATATCCATAATTTTCGGATCGGATTTTCGGATCTTCAAATAGTTTTGCTCAGCCTTACAACTAAGAGGTTGTGGGATTAAACCCCACTAGAGGTACCTTTGGGGTAGGGATTCCCTTACCCTTCCCCCTCACTTCCAAAGTGTCTAGCCCGCTAACCCGAGCCGGGAGGACCTGTGAGAGGTTCCGACCCGTAGGGCCCTTCTCCTTACCAACCAAAAAAAAAAAAAACAACATAGTCGTTGCGAGCTTTTACTCTGGTAAGGAATATTGCTTTTCAATAAGATCAGAATCCGAACATAATGAAGCATTGTTTATATATATATACTCCCTCCGTTTTTTTATTAGTTTTATAGAATGTGTATATGTTCATATCTTATATATAGTTTTTATAGATGTTTTTTTGGAGGAAAATAGACTTATAGATTTTATTTGTTAAAAAAATTATTGTAATTGATGTTTCATTTTATTCTTTGTATAAAAAAAATATTTTTTAGATTTTATAAATTGGTTGTTGGTTCTTTACTCTTGTTCATTTTCAAATTGATAAATAATCATTTACATTTGTTGAATTAAAAAAAAAATATATATACTAAAAGAGGTACTATATAGAAACAAATTCTATGTCTTTAACATACTAAAAAAATTCAACATTAAAAAATAATAGTTATACCAACATTTTTACAGTTTGAATATACTAACTTATTTATCTTTCTTAGCCAAATGTTTAGCTACATTTGTATAAAAAAGGCTAACAAACTGTCATACTTAGAAAAACTCTTTCTAGAACCAAATTGAACATTTCTTTAAACACTTGAAGAATTTTGAACAAGAGCACCTTGATCATTCATTGGAACTGTGGAAGGAATAAATTAAACATTTGTTGATTGAACATTTCTGGAATGGGGTTTGAACTTATCTGGATTGAAGTTTGAACAATGATGAGTTGAAGTTTGAGCAATGTCAAGAACTGTGGGTGGAACAAAAGAACCAGCTTGAGATTTTGTAGACGCACTAGTATGAATTGGAACTCTTGGATTAGCTTGAGCATTAGTTTTTATCCCAGGAACACCTTTATTTGTAGAAATGTGAGAACGAGCTTGAATAACGGAAACACCTTCAACAACATTTAAATCCTTCCCTGCAAAAAAAGTTAATTGATGATCAATATTAAATCAATAAATGTTCAATTACAAATACTTATATAAACATATTAGAAAATCAAAACCTTAGCAAGGGATGAAAATCTAAATCATTACATATGATGGATTGAAGAGTGCATTCACTAGAAGCCTACAGTTATCATAAAACTATTATTCCTACAACTATCATCTTTATAACCTTCACTACAACAAACAAATCTTTTAATAAAAAATGAATCATCTTTACTCCTCTTACTCTTCCCAATTCCAATTCCAAAACTGTTCCTAAAAGCATATTCAATTCGTTATACATTTCAAAAGCTTCTTTTTTCAGATTAAAATTGTTTACCCTTTAATTATAAGATTTACCCTTT